GGCCTGGCGAGGGACAACGTATTGGCGTTCAGATGGGACGAAAATCCGAGGTCCTGTGTACACTTTGATGTGCACGTAAGGGATCCCTTAGTAGTTGGATTTATATATAAGATTAGGCGTATGCCCGTCTTCATTAGCCCAGTCGAAGCAGAACAGTGCGATGCCTATCCAACCTACTGGGGTTTCTCTGGGTCCTCCGGTTTTCTTCCACTGCTAAGAGACCCTACACGCAAACGAATAATTAATATAAAATAGAAGCATATGTTAGTCCCGAAATGATCTGAGTTTGTGTCGAGTGGACGTTGAACCCCATCCCTCACCCGTGAAGAAATTAAAACACAATTTGGTAAATTGTGAAATGGATTTTAAACGAACAAATTGGTTTGTTTATTCGGGAGATTTAAAGGACAATATTGGTGTCAGTCATTATCACATATGTGATAGAACTCGTTAAACACGTTCCAAATATAATTTTAACACAGAGATCATTCCTACGATACATGAGTAATGAAGGTTTCTACAAAAGGAAGTGACGAACACAAAAGAAAACACGAGTTATTCTTCTATATAACTGACTGAAGTGGCGAGTGATAACATTACACGGACGAATTTCTGCTCACTAACAATTCCTTCGAATCACCAACTGAGAAGGAAATAATTCAACCAAACCACTATGCACCAAACTTCAGCTATCATATAGTTGTTTATTCTTCTCCTGCAAAATTTCCAAATCTCCAGTCTTATTTTCTGTGTCCATGGAATGGTCGGCGGTGTTATAAACGGTAGAAGAACCATTGCAGAAAAATACATCATTTGTGAGTTTCTCGTGTTGACTGGATCCAAGTCCAAACTCTATATACAACGACATCTCTGACGTACCGGAAATCAATTTATTATAAAGAAGAAAAGACTTCCGTTACGTCTTTTTGTTATCTGTCACTTATATTTCCAATTTATCATTGTAATATACGTTTTATTATGAACAATACGTTTGATTTTTAAAACAATAGAGGATATCTTTAAAACAAAAAGTACACGCTGATATCGAAATAATGGTGAGTAATAATTTGGGCCTAAATAGGCTGTGTGTTAGAATTTAGCTACGATTGGATGACTTTGAAGTAGCTAAGTCCGTAACTCAATATCATCCAAAATCTTCGACATTGAAAAGACGAATTTTTTTGCAATTTAAATCAGCATTGGTGTTGTGGTCTTACTTGGAAAAGATGGGCTTCTGATATCCAATATTTAAGACAAAATAAACATTTTACCATTGGTACCGTGTACCATAATGCGTTTCAGCTCCATTTGTAACAAGGTGCTTAAAGAATGGGGCTAGACATATTCTACAAGTCATGCCAAACGGTGATGCCATATTCTTATTTGGAGAGCATGCACAATATATACTATCGGTGTTGACTAGAATAACCAGACGCTAGAAACTGTCTTTCGGTTGAGACTTCTGGCATATTTCGCCGAACATAACTGATGACAATTCACAGTAAAACGGAAACGATTGAATGTAAAACAGTTTATATAAATTCATATTACATTATTATATGTGTTGCGACTCATTTGTGCCAATTTCTGGGCCCAAAATATTAGCGATTTAGCTCCTTTAACGGAGCTTGCGCTGTATCATAAAGTCTGTCTTGGAATCGTCTGGCGTGGTTTCGAATCCCTGGTTGTACGTGACAAGGAGTAGGGTCGCCTGTCCAACCTCGTGTGTTTTCTCCGGGTCCTCCGGTTTCCCCCCACTGCTAAAGACCCCTACGCGCAAGCGAATTATTGAAATAAAATTAAAAACCATGTGTTAGTCCCGAAATGACCTAGTTTGTGTCGAGTGGACATTATAACCCATTTCTCCCTCTCTCTATTCATGCTTAGTATCAAATATACTAATTGTTTACTTAACTATTGATCCGACTGGTCTTTTAAACACAGGTACCTGTGATTTAGTAAAGATATTACAGGAAACTAATGATGTTATAACTTTTATATATTACAGGAAACTAATGATGTTATAACTTTTATATATTACTGGAAACTAATGATGTTATAACTTTTATATATTACGGGAAACTAATGATGTTATAACTTTTATATATTACAGGAAACCAAAGATGATATAACTTTTATATATTACAGGAAACTAATGATGTTAAAACATTTATATATTACAGGAAACTAATGATGATATAACTTTTATATATTACAGGAAACTAATGATGTACATGTAGATGGATATTTTCAAGTTAAAGAAGAGAAAACTGAAGATATTGAAACTGTTTGCCAGTGTAATTTATGTGATGAAGTATTTAAATTAGAGAATGATTTAGAAAAACACTCTGAAGTTCATGTTAAAGAAGAGGGGTCTGTTTTACAGCATGGTAAAAGTTTGGAGAAAGGTTTTAGCCAAAATAACGAAACAGAGACAGGTTCTAATACATGTGATGTTTGTAGCAAATCATTCCGCAACAAATATGACCTCCAAAGACACAGAAAGACTCATACAGGGGAAAATAATTTTGAATGTGACGTCTGCATGAAAACATTTTCCCGTAGAGACAGTCTCCGGATGCACACGAGAATTCACAATGGAGAAAGGCCTTATAACTGTGATGTTTGTAGTAAATCATTTACTCAAAATGGTAATCTACAAACACACATAAAATCGCATACAGGTGAAAAATCATATAAATGTAATGTTTGTAGTAAATCATTTACTCACAACAGTATTCTACAGAGACATATGCGAACTCACAGTGATGAGAGACCTTATAAATGTGATGTTTGTGGTAAATCATTTACAGATACGAGTAATCGGACTAAACATATCAAAACACATACGGGCGAGAAACCCTATAAATGTGGTGTTTGTGAGAAGTCGTTTATTCAGAATATTCAGCTTCAGAGACATGTCGGTGTTCATACGAAGGAGCGACCCTATCAGTGCGGGGTGTGTGGAAAATCTTTCACTTTAAACAATAATTTGCTGATTCATATTAAAATTCATACCCGTGAAAAAAAGGTTTAAAGATGAACACTAAAAACTATTCATGGAATTTAATTACTGGTTTATTTAAAATAATAAAGTTTATTTGCAAATACATACATACATGTATATGAGAGAGGGAGAGAGAGAGAGAGAGAGAGATGGGGTTTAAAGCCCTTTCGACACAAACTAGGCATACAAGGACAGCTGTCTAGTCGTTCGGCTGGACAAAAAATCAAGGTCCAGTGTACACATTGGCGTGCATGTAAAAGATCCCTTGGGAGTTGAAATTCGATATAAGAGTAGGCTCAAGCACCGCTGCCCGGGCAAAATTCACGTCATAGCACACTGTATGCCTGTCTTGGTTAGCCCAGTAGGAGTAGTAGAACGTTAAATCCAATTTCATTTCACTGTATATAAAATCATGGGAGCTACGGTGGTTCGGTGTTTGAGACGTTATACTAGATGAAATATTGGACCCGTGTGCTGATTTCACGTGACAGTGGTGCAAGATGGAGGGTTTGGGGTGTCAGTGGTGCAGGATGGAGGGCCTTGGGTATCAGTGGTGCAACATGGAGGGCCTGGGGTGTCAGTGGTGCAACATGGAGGCCTGGGGTGTCAGTGGTGCAACATGGAGGGGCCGGGGTGTCACTGGTGCAACATGGAGGGCCCGGGGTGTCAATGGTGCAACATGGAGGGCCCGGGGTGTCAGTGGTGCAACATGGAGGGCCTGGGGTGTCACTGGTGCAACATGGAGGCCTGGGGTGTCACTGGTGCAACATGGAGGCCTGGGGTGTCAGTGGTACAACATGGAGGGCCTGGGGTGTCAGTGTTGCAACATGGAGGGCCTGGGGAGTCACTGGTGCAACATGGAGGCCTGGGGTGTCGGTGGTGCAACATGGTGGACCTGGGGAGTCAGAGGTAAATGAACAGTAAGTGGAAACAGCATTATGTAAAAGAGGGGGGAGGGGCAGAGAGAGAGAGAGATGGGTTTAAGTCCACTTGACACAAATTAGTTCATTTAGGGACTTACATATGGTTTAATTTTATTTCAATAATTCGCTTGCACATAGAGTTCTTTAGCAGTGGGAGGAAACCGGAAAAAACCCACGAGGTTGGACATGCAACCCTACTCCTTGTCATGTACAACAGGCTAATTGCCAATCATGCCAGTTGACCAGCTAAACTATTTTTAAAGTAGGCCATTGACTGGAGGTGGTAGTACAAGTTTTATGGGGGTGGCAACAGAAACACATGAGGAGTGAAGAGACATGGTTATTACCCGATTTAAAACCATGAATACTGATAAGAAAATCAGGATGCTAAACCCTATTTGAATACCGACAACTGTACACTACATGTATTTCACTACAGTGGCAGCCTCCCCCCATAAATCTGTCTTCCCTCTGTTTGCCCCCCCCCCCCTCAATAATTTTAGAAAAACAATACCTTCTTCAATGATTAAATCCCACATTCCCACTCAGTCATGGACTTGCATGTTGCATGAGTGATTTCTTACAAAGCCCATTTGACACTTTCCTCTCTCGGGTCGGATAAACTTGCTTGTAGGGGTCATTAGCAGGGGGAGAAAACCGAATGACTCGGAGAAAACCCAGGAGGTCCGAGAGAAAACCAAGGAGGTTTAACAGGGGACACTGGTCCTTGTCATGTACAACCTGGGATTCGAAACCACGTCAGACATCCTGAATAAAAATATTGTTTATAAAAAAAAAAATGCAATTTCGAGGTCAGTAGATAGGTTTATTTGGCACAAACATTAAAATGACATATTTCTTTATGGTACAAATTATTTTGGTGTGGAGGGTGGGGGGGTCCCACCCGTCACTCGTACACACTGATCCCCTGTCTATTCTACTGGGCGTTTTAAAATATGTGAGGACTAAAACGATTGCAGTTATTATTTGTGAGTATTTAGTGTTGGACAGATCCACGTCCATATTCAATAATTATAAATACTACCGGAAATCAATCCAAACATGACGTACAGTGGTTTCCGGTTCAGAACTCATGTTCGCTGATTTCGTTGACTGTTTGGGTTTTCGAATAGTTACCGGATTGAGGTCGTGTTGAAATGGATTCATCAAGGTTAATAATCATTTTATTTATATAAAATAAATTCCACTTAATGCAAGCCACCATTTTGTTTCCAAGTTGAATGTATCATTTATAGGCCACAATAATCAATTAATGAAAACTTTTAATGGGTGTTTCAGAAACTGCCATGATGGTGGGTAAGAAGCAGGCTTGCTAGCCTGGAGAGGGAGAGAGAGAGATGGGGTTTAATGTCCGTTCGACACAAACTAGGTCATTTCGGCACTAACATATGGTTTAATTTTATTTCAATAATTCGCTTGCGCGTGTAGGGGTCTTTAGTAGTGGGAGGAAACCGGTTGGACAGGCGACCCTACTCCTTGTCACGTACAACCGGGGATTCGAAACCACGTCAGTTGACTCAATGACAGGCCGTATGCTACAGCGCGCAAGTGCTAACCATTTGGCCATCATCCCCGCTATCCTGGACGTCGCATGTTCGATCCTTGCATTGGCTGAGAAAGTTCATCAGGATATTCCGACATGGTTTCCCGTTGTCAGTGGTGCTGGACGGAAAGCCTGACATGTGTACATTAGCGTGCACATAAAAGCTTCCTTGGCAGTTGGAATTCGATATAAGAGTAGTTCCGGGCTAAATGTCCCTCATAGCACACTGTATGGCGTATGCCCCTCTTTATTAGCCCAGTCGGAGCAGAACAGTAGGACGTTAAACCCCATTTCATTTCATTTCATTTTAGAAATTGATAGAAATGTATTATTGTAAACACTGTTAATATGTGCCATCTTAGTTGTTTATAATATTTCATGACAAGAATTCAACTTTCATTTAGATTATGGCTGAAAATAAAAGCGTTACAGTACCTGTTGAAGACTTGACAAACAGCTCCCCAACATTTGAAAATGAAAGTGTTACAGTACCCGTCGAAGACGTGTCTAACAGCCCACCGGTATTTGAAAATGAAAGTGTTACAGTACCTGTCAAAGACTTAACTAACAATCCACCAACATTTGACCTACGTACTGAGGTAAGTTACAGAGGTTTTATCGTTTCTAAATTAGCACATAACATGACATTATGTAAGAGCTAAATCTGCCTATTGCAGGTCTTTCTTTAGACCTAAAATGTTATATAAACTTTTAATTAGACATTTATTAACATGAAAAGAACTTAATCAACTCTCGATGCCATTTTATGTGTTCGTTTTTCGCTTAATAATTTTGGAATAATGCCAAAGTCGTAGACACGGTGTGAATTTTCACTTATGAGATCCTTTTTTTAAACAATTCACCTTTTTTGGACAATTAGCCAATATAACATTGTTTTTCATTGGGTGTTTTATTTTTATTACAATCTTTGTAATTGGATGGTTTATTTTTATCATCCAATCAACATTATTTTAAGAAATAAATTCAAAAGAAAAGAGTTAATTGATGTCGCGTTTTTGTTCGCTAAGGCTGATGCCAGGTATGATTAGTTGGCGCTTTGATACGCTACCGTCTAATGACAGGGTGCGAACTGATTCGCTCTCGGCAAAGATAAGTTAAGTAATACATGAAATATAAAACAATAAAATAAATATAATCTTTGAAAAAGAAAGCATCAGAAAAATAATATGAGTAAACCTGCATCGTCAGGTGACCAACGTTTGAATTGCTGACTTATTTGATGAACTGGCGACTTGAACAGGATTCAGGCTTTGTGAAAACTTGGGACTCGATTCGGTGCTTAAGTCATTGATTTGGGATTTGACTCAAACTGGAGGTCCTGTAACTTGCTTCCACAACTAATGTAGATGGGCTATGAGGGAAATTTTGCCTGGACATTAGCGATATGGCCTACTCTTATATGAAATTCTAACTCCCATGGGATCTTTTATGTGCATGTCAATGTGAACACAGGCAGGACCTTGGTTTTTCGTATCTGCCAAATGACTATACATTGTGCCTTGTCAGACCCTCTGTCCTGCATCACTGACAAGGCGGAACCATGCCGGAAAATCCAGATGCACTTTCTCTCAGCCATCACAGGGATCAAATACGGAACCTCAAGGTTAGAAAGCAAGGAAACTATTGATGTTATAACTATTATATGTTACAGGAAGCTAATGATGTTATAACTTTTATATATTACAGGAAACTGATGATGTTGTAACTTTAATATCTAACAGGAAACTAATGATGTTATAACTTTTATATATTACAGGAAACTAATGATGTTATAACTTTTAGATGTTATAACTTTTATATATTACAGGAAACTAATGATGTTATAACTTTTATATATTACAGGCAACTAATGATGTTATAAAATTACTGGAAACTAATGATGTTGTAACTTTTATATATTACAGGAAACTAATGATGTTAAAACATTTATATATTACAGGAAACTAATGATGTTAAAACATTTATATATTACAGGAAACTAATGGTGTTATAACTTTTATATATTACAGGCAACTAATGATGTAAAAATGCTTCATCAATGTGTTGTATGTGATGAGATTTTTCAACAATATGATGATTTAGAACAACACACTAAAATACATGTTAAAGAAGAGAAAACAGATGATATAGATGAATATTGTCATGTTAAAGAAGAGAAAACTGATGATAATATTGAAACTGTTTATCAGTGTAAAATGTGTTATAAAGTATTTGATTTAGAAACTGATTTAGAAAAACACTGTGAAATACATATTGAAAAAGAGGAGTCTGTTTTACAGCATGGTAAAAGTTTGGAGAAAGGTTTTAGCCAAAATAATGAAACAGAGATACCCAATCAGACAGGTTCTAACACATGTGATAAAACAGAGATACCCAATCAGACAGGTTCTAACACATGTGATGAAACAGAGATACCCAATCAGACAGGTTCTAATACATGTGATGAAAGGGAGATACCCAATCAGACAGGTTCTAACACATGTGATGAAAGGGAGATACCCAATCAGACAGGTTCTAACACATGTGATGAAAGGGAGATACCCAATCAGACAGGTTCTAACACATGTGATAAAACAGAGATACCCAATCAGACAGGTTCTAACACATGTGATGAAACAGAGATACCCAATCAGACAGGTTCTAAAACATGTGATGAAACAGAGATACCCAATCAGACAGGTTCTAATACATGTGATGTTTGTAGCAAATCATTCCGTCTCAAATCTGACTTACAAAGACACAGAAAAACTCATACAGGGGAAAATAATTTTGAATGTGACGTCTGCATGAAAACATTTTCCCGTAGAGACAGTCTCCGGATGCGCACGAGAATTCACAATGGAGAAAGGCCTTATAAATGTGATGTTTGTAGTAAATCATTTACTCAAAATGGTAATCTACAAACACACATAAAATCCCATACAGGTAAAAAATCATATAAATGTAATGTTTGTAGTAAATCATTTACTCACAACAGTATTCTACAGAGACACATCAAAACTCACAGCCAAGAGAAGCCTTATAAATGTGATGTTTGTAGTAAATCATTCACCGATTATAGTAGTGGTCTACAGAGACATCTCAGAATACATACAGGATTTAAACCTTATAAATGTGATGTTTGTGGTAAATCATTTACTGATACGAGTAACCTGCGTAAACATATCAAAACACATACAGATACAGAAGAGACAACTGACGAATATTGTCTTGTTAAAGATGAGAAAACTGCTGATTTTGGAACATGCTATCAGTGTAACAAATGTGATGAAGAGTTTAAATTAGAATCTGATTTAGAAAAACACTGTAAAATACATGTTAAAGAAAAGAAAACTGATGATGTAGATGAATATTGTCATGTTAAAGAAGAGAAAACTGATGATGTAGATGATTATTGCCATGTTAAAAAAGAGAAAACTGACGATGTAGATGGATATTGTCATGTTAAAGAAGAGAAAACTGATGATACTGAAACTGTTTATCAGTGTAATTTATGTGATAAAGGATTTAAATTAGAAACAGATTTAGAAAAGCACTGTGAAGAACATGTTAAAGTAGAGGATTCTGTTTTACAATATGGCAAAAATTGGGAGAACAGTTTTAGCCAGTATAATAAAACAGAGACTCGAGATGAAACAGGTTCCAAAACAAGTCATAAATGTGGTGTTTGCAGTAAATCATTTCTTAAGAATTGTAACTTTCAGGCACACATGAGAATTCATACAGGTGAAAAACTTTATAAATGTGATGTTTGTAGTAAATCATTTCGTCAGAGAGTTCATCTGAGATCTCACGCGATTATTCATTCGGGCGAGAAAGCTTATAATAATAAGAACAATTGATTTATATTGTGCCAACAATTCAACTCTGGTAGCTGCTCTTGGGCCCTTTATGTGATGTTAGTAGTAAATCATTCACTCGGAATTTATACTGGAGAGACCCCTTTTTGGTTACCAGATTTCGACTTTAGACCCATGTCATTGTCACAAGTTTTTTTTTACTTTTACTTTATCGACGAGTGTTGATATTTTTTTATATCAAAAAAGACAAGTAGGATATTATATTTATCTCCCAATACCTTCTTACATGCACAAATAAATAAATATAATTCTTTGCTATAGATTTCACTTTTACTGAACCTGATTACATTACGGCGTACTGATACATCATTTTTTGACAGCAATTCAACCATTGCAAAGTCCTTTATATTGACCCAGTGTTTCCATCAAGGTCAATTAAATACAAATTGTTTATTTTTAATATAAAAAAGGTTACTTTTAATAAAAAATGAAAAAAAAAAAAGTAGTTCCTTTTTATCTGACCAATCATGAAATTTATCACAAAAGCGATATCTACTGTAGAATGTATTATTGGGTGATAAAAAACATTTACTTGTTAGATTTGTAATAAATCATTTATACAAAAAATCCAGCATCAGAAGCATATGGAGAGAGAGAGAGAAATGGGGTTTAACGTCCACTCGACACAAACTAGGTCATTTCGGGACTAACATATGGTTTAATTTTATTTACATAATTCGCTTACGCATAGGAGTCTTTAGCAGTGGGAGGAAACCGGAGAAAACCCACGAGGATGGACAGGTGACCCTACTCCTTGCCACGTACAACCGGGGATTCAAAACCACGCCAGTCGACTCAATGACAGACTTTATGATACAGCGCGAGCACGTTAACCATTCAGCCATCCAACCCCCCCCAGAAGCATATGAAAAAAACCACTTTAAATGTGATGATTGTAGTAAATCATTTCATAACCGAGGTCCTCTACAGAGGGGGGGGGGGGAAGATCATATAAATATGATGTTTGTGACAAATCTTACCCCATCCATGGTTACCTACACAGGCATGTCAGAAATAATCTTGTAATAATTAAAATATAAGTTTATATAAATCAGGCCTTCATCAAAGTGCATCTATGTTTCTTTATTATTCAAAATATAAATGAAATGGAGTTATTGCCCATGATCTCTCTGTGGACTGTTTGAACTTGAAAAGGGGTTTAACGTCCACTCGACACAAACTAGGTCATTTCGGGACTAATAGTAAGATATGAAGAAGCATGTTACATTTCTAGAGTTATTGCTCTTGCACAATTTGTAGAATACGTTGTCCAACAAACTGGCAGCGACTATCTCTGTTCACATGAAACTTGGACCTGGCCCAGATTTAGCAGAGAATTCTCAGACTTAAAGTAGCTAAGTCTTTAACTCGGTATTATCCACTGTCTTCGACATTGCAAACACGACTTATTGGTCAATTTAAATCAACATTGATGTTGTTATCTTACGGAGAAAAGATGGGCTTCTGATTTCCTATATTTTAATACACAATGAAAATTTTAAACTTGGGAAACGAATCGTGTGCCAGAATGCTTTCAGGCGCCATTTGTAATGAGCGACTCGGTGAACAAGGCTAAACATATCCCATAAGGGAAGACTACCTGAATAGACTGGAATAACCGAACGCCAAATTCAATATGCAATTATTCCACAGAATTTATACATATATACCAAACCTTAAGTTTCTCACATTTATAGTCATTAAATAAACGGTCAGTTATAACCATTTAACATCAATACAAATTAGACACAATTAGTACATGATGTCGTGCACGACAATGGATATATCTGGTTTGAGTGCCATTTGTAATAAACAAAGAAAAACATCCCAGAAGACAATGCAGAATGGCTGATTCAAAAACAACTATATATTAATAAAAAATACCTAGGGTGTAGAATGGATAAAGGCATATACGACCGTTGTTAATTTGCACAGTTCGCGTATACATGTTCCCCAAGTATGATAAAAAAAAATAATTTCTTTATAAACATTTGTACGACCCTTGACGCGACCTTCCAGAACAACTTGTCAGATCTTCATGAATCAAGTGGTGTAGGCCATCGAAAGTATAAAAAAAACAAAACGAAATATAGATCTGTATTTTAATCAGATTGGGGAAAAGCATCGACATTAAACCGTGCATTACTGGAAAAAACATTTGAAACTCAAGGTGAAGATTGAATGATGACACATGATGTTGGATGAAGTTGGGAGAAAAAAAAATAAAGATACACTATGTAGGATTTAAAATACAGATGTGACATCATCCTTTGATGTTGGCGTACCATTTTTTCAAATGACTTGCCAATTGTACATTTATACTAGATGAAATATTGGACTCCAGGCTCGAGTGACAATTTGCTGGATAGCGTCTTTATTTTAAGTGAGATTTTAGCCTGGATAGTGTTTTTATTTTTAAGTGCGATTCTAGTCTTTACATTGCTGGATAGTGTTGATATTTTAAAGATCACCGGAAAAGCTTCATAAATCTTTTAAATAATGCAAGTAATTATATTTTCCATAAGTATAACACAAACCTGAATGTCAATATTACCTGCAATAAGTTGTTTAATTTCTTCGTGTTATATCATTACTTAATGGCTCGCTCTCAACCATTACACCACACCTAGATAAAGAGCTGACAGTTCTCATTATAACATTTCAAAAACAGATAATGAAAAATATATAGAGTAGTCTAGACAGAAATGAAATGAAATGAAGTGGGGTTTAACGTTCTACTGTTCTGCTCCGAACTGGGCTAATGAAGACGGGCATAAGCCATTCAGTGTGCTATGAGTATGAGGGAAATTTTGCCCGGACAGCGGCACTACGGCCTACTCTTATATCGAATACCAACTGTCAAGGGATCTTTTACCTGCACGCCAATGTGTACACGGGACCTCGGTTTTCCGTCCCATCCAAAAGACTAGACAGCTGTCCTTGTCAGGTCCTCCGTCCTGCATCACTGACAAGGGAGAACCACACCGGAAAATCTGGATGAACTTTCTCGGCCAATGCTGGGATCGAACACCCGACCTCCAGGCTAGCGAGCCAGCGTCTTACCCACTTAGCCATGTGATCCCCTAGTCTAGACAGTCTTTACATATATTATAGGGAGCCTATAACGGGACTGTCTTTTGCAGCTCGCCAAAGAGCTCAGAGCAATCCTAGTGGGTTCAACTCTATATAACTAGCATTCGAGCAAAAGAAATGACACAAGGCATTCATAAAAAATCAACATGCACAAGTTTTATTAATAAAATATATTTCAAGGATACCACAGATATGATAATAATATTAATAATATTAATAATATTTAGTTATATAACAATAGGGGGATCACGTGGCTAAGTGGGTAAGACGCTGGCTCGCTAGCCTGGAGGTCGGGTGTTCGATCCCTGCATTGGCCGAGAAGGTTCATCCAGATTTTCCGGCGTGGTTCCCCCTTGTCAGTGATGCAGGATGGAGGGCCTGACAAGGACAGCTGTCTAGTTCTTCGGATGACATGGAAAAACGAGGTCCCGTGTATATATTGGAATGCATGTAAAAGATCCCCATGGCAGTTGGAATTTGATATAAGAGTAGGCAATAGTGCCGCTGTCCGGGCAAAATTTCCCCCATAGCACACTGTATGGCGTATGCCGTCTTCATTAGCCCAGTATAGGAGCAGAACAGTAGGACATTAATTCCATTTCATTTCATTTATATGACAATAGTAGTAGTAGTATAGAATTTTATTCAAGTTTATTTTCATGCATCATAATATGTTCCTTTGTCTTGGGACTAATTCAAAAACATGGCTAAGTCAGCTTAGTGTTAGTCTAAGTGGCTAAATAGTCGGAATAGGACTAGGCTAGCGCAGTAATCGGTAGATTAGATTCGAAGCGCCGCGAATAATAATTAAACGGCTATAATATATAATTTATAAGTTGACTTAATATTCAGGGCCCTGTTTCACGAAATTTTAACTAAAGATAATATCCAAATTTTAGTAGATATTTCAATTTTGATTGGCTTAGCACTAAAATTAAAATCAATCTAATATATTATCCAATCAAATTACTAAAATTTGGATTTTATCTTAGTTAAAATTTCGTGAAACTGGCCCCAGACTGACTCGTTTCTTACCATTAAATCTTCCATGGTTTAGTTATAATAATAAGTCTTATAATATCAAATAAGACTACGGTAAGTAGAACTAAACGTTGATCACTGTCTAGGTTAGGCCTATAGCAGACGTGAAACTGAGCCACGGCATAGAGCGTAGACACAACTGAACGCGGTTGCTTTATTGCGTTCCATAGGTATCACGTGACGATATTATCCAATCCCTGCATGGGATTTCCTGTCGTCCAATGCGAACGCTTGAAATGGCACGCGCTCGTCTTCTAACAGTTAACGTAGCGGTAAATGGAAGCGGAGAATCTTAAGCTGTATCTACTAAATATGTAAGTAAAATGAACTATAATGTAAGTTTTAAAAGTAATTCATGTACAAGGAATTCTTTACAGACATTACAAATTACTGACAATATATACTTATGGTGAAAATAAGCTAAATTCCACCAGGGAAGTGAACTTCCGGTTTAACGTGACAACGAGACCGGCGAAAGCTCTAGATGTAAACAAAGCGATTGAAATGACAGCTAGCTGTCTAAACAATTCGTCACAGGCCACAGTGGCCCAGAGAGGTTCCCCTTTATCACTGGTGCAAGGTGGAGGGCCTGGGGAGTCAGAATTCAAGAAAAAGTAAGTGTATTTCCGTGGAGGCCTGGAGCTAGTATTTCTGTCGACTGGAGGTCTGTCTTTGAGTTTGATTTTGAATCAGCTGCACTATTTTTGAAGCTGGCCATGTGACTGGAGGTGGTAGCACAAGTTTTCTGAGGCTGACAATGAAAACACGCCAAGAGAATCGAAGAGACTTGGTTATTATGTGTTTTAAAACATTGGATACAGGAGTATGCTTGCTTTACAAATGAAGTTTCAATGAGGTGCTAGTCTTCTGATGTAGGAAGTCTTCTGATGTACAGATAAGAACATCAGGAAGGTATACCCCATTTGAATACCGACAACTGTACACTATTTCATTATCTTACACCAGGAAGTCGTACAGATGCTTGGGGGTAGGTGGGAGAGGTACGTAGTGAGGGTTTGGGTTGCCGTGTGGTTAACACATGCGCATTGAATCATAAAGTCTGTCATTGAGTCAACTGGCACGGTTTCGATTCTCCGGTAGTACGGGACAAGGAGTAGGGTCGCCAGTCCAACCTCGTGGGTTTTCTCCAGGTCCTCTAGTTTCCTCCCACTGCTAAAGACCCCTACGCGCAAGCGAATTATTGAAATAAAAAATTAAACCATGTTAGTCCCGAAATGATCTAGTTTGTGTTCAGTGGACCTTAAACCCCATCTCTCTCTCTCTCTCTCTCTCTCTCTCTCTCTCTCTCTCTTGCTAAACCACAACTGTACACTATCTTACATCAGGAAGTCGTAAAGATGATTGAGGTGGGGGGGGGGGGCGAATGGTGAACATGTTTGTGTTGAATCATAAGGTCTGTCTTTTAGTAAAGTGTAGGGATTTTGATTCATCCACTTGTACATGAAGGAGTAGGGTTGTCTGTTAAACCTACCTGCTAAAGACCCATGTGTGCAACTTTTGGTCTTCGAAGGAATTATTAGTGAGCAGAAATTCGCCCATGTATCTGTTATCACCCATCACTTCAGTCAGTTATATAGAAGGATAACTCGTGTTTTCCTTTTGCGATCGTCACTTCCGATTGTTGAAACATTGATTACGCATCTATCGTAGCAATGATCTCTGTGACAAATAATATTTGGAACTGTTTAACCAGTTCTATTACATATATGATAATGACTGGCACCAATATTGTCCTTTAAAATATGTGAGGACTAAAACGATTGCAGTTATTATTTGTGAGTACTTCGCGTTGGACAGATCCACGTCCATATTCAATAATAACCTCTGCTACCGGAAACGGAAATCAATCTGAACACGCGACATACAATGGTTTCTGGTTCATTGTTTACATTACTCGCGCTCGCTAATTTCGCTTGTTGTTTGGGTTTTCAACTAGTTAGCGGGTTGAGGTCGTGTTGAAATGGATTCACCGAGGTTCAAATATTCTACGGGAAAATTATGCGTTGCTGCCGGCTGTTCAAACACCAATAACGACGGCTGTTCCATGCACGCTTTTCCGAAAAGAAATGACTCAGTTCGTCGGACATGGATCAACTTTGTAAAGACCAAACGAGCTCATTGGAAAGGCCCATCAATACATTCACACTTGTGTTCAGCACATTTTACGGCTGATTCCTTTCCCTTCCGAACCAGATTCGAAATGAATGTAATGGGGGTGAAACCGCCAAAGATGACACTTGTGAAAGGTTCTTACCCAACCATTCACAGTCCGTCTACCAATGTGCCATCTGATAGTACTAATGCTAATATTGCTAGCCGCACACTGTCTCCTGTTAAAAAGAGAAAAGCTTTCTTAAAAAGAGAAGTTGCCAGGGTAGGTACAAAGTGGCCACCGTATTTTTATGAATATCATGTAGACTATTTTTACAGAACTGTATTTTACGGCACTTCCCTTCGCGCCTGCAAATCAGGAAAATACAGGATTTAGATTTTTGTCTTCAGCACTGCTGTAGATTTTCGCCTACATCACGCACATATGACTACACTATTTTAATTTTAATTTACGTGAGTAAAATTCTCTTAAGTCCAAGGGGGTTTGGATGACCGAATGGTTAGCATGTGCACCCTGTATATACGGTCTGTCATTAATTCAACTGGCGGGGTTTCGATTCCCCCGTTGTACGTGACAAGGAATAGGGTCACCTGTCCAACCTCGTGAGTTTTCTCTGAGTCCTCTGGTTTCCTTGCACTGCTAAAGACCCCTACGCGCATGGGAATTATTGAAATAAAATTGAACCATGTGTTAGTACCGAAATGACCTAGTTTCTGTTGAGTGGACGTTAAACCCCATGTCTCTCTCTTTCTCATAAGTCCAATATTTTACCTGGTGTGCATGAACAACTGGAAGTGCCGTAAAAATAGCCGACTAATGTTTAATTCATTAAATAGCCATATCTATAAATGTATTTTTGTTTTAATATTTCCCCAAGTTTGTTTTAGTAGACTACTAGAGCTGGCAATCGATATCCATTTTAAATATCGATATCGGCAACCATTTCGGCAATATCGATATTGATATATCGGAAAATTTGAAGTTGAAAGAAATAACTGTTTGTATGCTAATAATGCATTTAAATGTGTTATTGATCAAATAAAAAAAAAATATGATCCTCAAACTATGTTTTCTGTTTGTTTCGTTCACAACTTATCGGATGGGGTTATTAACAAAATAGTATTCGCAGCTTTGCGCTGGCCATCAATCGCTGTTGACAATTTCCCTCGGCTGCTTATAGCAATAAATAAATTTCTATTAAAATCTGGTAATTCCCCTTGAACAATTAATTAATGGGGTTTTTTTTGTCATTGTTGTAAACAACCACAAAAATTACCCGCGCGGTGGATGTACCTTAGTGTGTGTATTTTTGTTTTAACATGTTTTGAATGATATGACAGTGATTATTTGACACAAAACATTCCGTTAATTTCATTTTATTGAAGCTTCTTTATTTTTTATGCGAGTATCAATATCAAGAACTGAATATCGATATTTTCCATAGTCGCCGGCGATTATTGGCTATATCGATATATTTTCCCAAGTTTGCTTTAGTAGGCTACTGGTACTGTACCTATTTTTGTTTTTTTCTAAAATGAACCTGTATCATTAAATAAAGTGGAGCCACGGTGGCTAGGTGGGTAAAACGCTGGCTTGCTAGCCTGGAGGTCGGATGTTCGATCCCTGCATTGGCCGAGAAAGTTTGTCCCGATTTTCCGACCTGTTTTCTCCTTGTCGGTGATGCAGGACGGAGGGCCTGATAAGGACAGCTGTCTAGTCCTTCGGATGAGACGAAAAACCGAGGTCCCGTGTATACATTAGAATGCACATAAAAGATCCCTTGGCAGTTGGAATTCAATATAAGAGTAGGCCATAGCGCCGCTGCCCGGGCAAAATTTCCCTCATAGCACACTGTATGGCGTATGCGCGTCTTCATTAGCCCAGTATAGACGCAGAACAGTAGGACGTTAAACCCCATTTCATTTCATTAAATAAAGTGGGTCACAAACAAAAAGGGTTGTTTCAGACACTTATAGAAATGTAAGCATGGTAAACATGTGCAAGTTTTTAGGGTTTTTTTTATAGGAGTAGGCCCGGGCAAAATTTACCTCTTAGCACACTCTAAGGCGTATGCCCATCAAGGAAGTGTGAAGCAAACAGCGAGACGTTCAACCCCACTTCATTTTATTTTGTTTCAGAAACTTATTTTAAACACTTTAAGTACGTACAAGTTTTTAGTCTTTTATAATATTTCATGACAAGAATTCAACTTTCATTTAGATTATGTCTGAAAATGAAAGTGTTGTGGTACCCGTTGAAGACGTGACTAACAGCCCACCGGCATTTGAAAATGAAAGTGTTCCGGTACCCGTAGAAGACTTAACTAACAATCCACCAACTGAGGTAAGTTACACAGCTTTTATCATTTCTAAATTAGGACATATCTGTTAACCTGGTGGAGGGTTGAATAGTTAGCGTATGCGCGCTGTATCATAAAGTCTGACATTGTTCTGCTCCTATACTGGGCTAATGAAGACGGGCATACGCCATACAGTGTGCTATGAGGGAAATTTTGCCCTGATAGCGGCACTATCGCCTACTCTTATATCGAATTCCAACTGCCAAGGGATCTTTTACGTGCATTCCAATGTATACAGGGGACTTTGGTTTTTCGTCTTATCTGAAGGACTAGACAGCTGTCCTTGTCAGGCCCTTCGTTCTGCACCACTGACAAGGGGAAACCACGTCGGAAAATCTAGATGAACTTTCTCGGCCAATGCAGGGATCGAACACCCGACCTCCAGGCTAGCGAGCCAGCGTCTTAACCACCTAGCCACCGTGACTCCAGGTTTTTAACACATAAAAGACCAAATAAGAACAAGCTTGGTTACAGATTTATACATGCCAGTACATAAACAATAAAATGTAGAGTATAATGGCAGTAGGGTACATGTATAAAGACAATAGAAACCATGATTCGGAAGTAGAAATGTAGAGTATAAAGGCAGTAGAAACCATGATTTGGTAGTAGAATTAGACAAGAAATGTGTAAATTAACACTTCCAAGGGCCCAAATTTTATTAAACATTTAATAAGCTTAATAAACTGGACTGTTTATTGTAATTACAATATTGTACCGGTAAATTCATAATTTCTAAACTGAAAAAATAAAAAATGTTTTTAGATTTGAATTTCTTTGTCGGTTATGATTTTAAAGCAATTTACAATCACTCTTAAGAACATGAAAAAAGAAATACTCATTTTTCTAAAAACAAAGATATGTAGCATTTTGGAACAAAACTCTTCATATATTACAGGAAATTCATGATGTTATAACTTTTATATATTACAGGGAATTAATGACACTATAACTTTTATATATTACAGTAAACTAATGATGTTATAACTTTTATATATTACAGTAAACAAATGATGTTATAACTTTTATATATTACAGGAAACTAATAATGTAAAAATACTCCACAAGTGTGTTGTGTGTGACTCGATTTTTCAGCAATTTGATGATTTAGAACAACACAGTAAAATACATGTCAAAGAAGAGAAAACTGATGATGTAGATGAATATTGTCGTATTAAAGAAAAGAAAACTGATAATGTAGATGAATATTGTCATGTCAAAGAAGAGAAAACTGAAGATATTGAAACTGTTTATCAGTGTAAATTGTGTGATGAAGAATTTAGATTAGAAACTGATTTAGAAAAACACTGTGAAATACATGTTAAAGGCGAGGATTCTGTTTTACAACATGGTAAAAATTGGGAGACAAGTTTTAGCCAGTATAATGAAACAGGTTGTGGAACAAGTTATAAATGTGATATTTGTAGTAAATCATTTATTAAGAAACATAATCTTCTGGCACACGTGAGAATTCATACTGGTGAAAAACCATTCAGATGTGATGGTTGTAGTAAATCATTTAGTCAGAAAGGTCATTTGATATCTCACGCGATTATTCATTCGAGCGAGAAAGCTTATAGATGTGATGTTTGTAGTAAACCATTTACTCGTAGTGGTGATCTAAAGTCACACATGAAGACCCATTCTGGTGAAATACCCTATAAATGTGATGTTTGTAGTAGATCATTTCTTAAGATTGGTAACTTACAATCACACATGAGAATTCATACTGGCGAAATACCTTATCAATGTGATGTTTGTAGTAAATCCTTTACTACCGGTAGTAATCTACAATCACACATGAGAATTCATACTGGCGAAATACCTTATAAATGTGATGTTTGTAGTAGATCATTTCTTAAGAATGGTAACTTTCAGGCACACATGAGAATTCACACTGGTGAAAAACTTTTTAAGTGTGATATTTGTGGTAAAACATTTAGTCAGAAAGGTCATTTGATATCTCACGTGATTATTCATTCGGTTGAGAAAGCTTATAGATGTGATGTTTGTAGTAAACCATTTACTCGTAGTGGTAATCTGAAATCACACATGAGAATTCATACTGGTGAAATACCCTATAAATGTGATGTTTGTGGTGAATGTTTCACTAGCAGATATCAACTTAAGACCCATGTCATTATTCATACAGAGAGGATTCATGGGGGATCACGGTGGCTAAGACGCTAGCTCGCTAGCCTGGAGGTCGGGTGTTCGATCCCTGCATTGGCCGAGAAAGTTCATCCAGATTTTCCGGCGTGGTTCTCCCTTGTCAGTGATGCAGGACGGAGGGGCTGACAAGGAAAGCTGTCTAGTCGTTCGGATGGGACGAAAAACCAAGGTCCCGTGTACACATTGGCGTGCACGTAAAAGATCCCTTGGCAGTTGGAATTCGATATAAGAGTAGGTGATAGTGCCGCTGCCCGGGCAAAATTTCCCTCATAGCACACTGTATGGCGTATGCCCATCTTCATTAGCCCAGGTTAGGAGCAGAACAGTAGGACGTTAAACTCCATTCATTTCATTTCATTTCATTTCAGGAGGATTCATACACTAGAGAAACCATGAACTTGTGAGATTTGTAATAAATGATTTTTACAAAAAATATGAGAACTCATACTAGTAAAAAAAACCCAAAAAACACTTTAAAGGTCACCGGAAAAGCATCAATTTTTTTTTAAATAATACAAGTAATTATGTCAACATATCCTTTCCATAAGTATAACCCGAGCCCGAACGTCAATATTATCTGCAACAGGTAAATTTCAACATTAGTAATTTCCGCCGTTCTCCGTCGGTAGTCGGAACTTTCCGTCAATAAGCAATCCGTGACGTCATTTTAGTCCTTCTGCACATAGAAATATAGACTAGAATATGAGCAGAGGGACTAAAATGACGTCACATTTATGGAAAGTTACGACTACCCACGGAGAATGGCGGAAATTGCTAACGTTGAAATTTACCTGTTGCAGGTAATACTGACATTCGGGTTCGTGTTATACTTATGGAAAGGATATGTTGACATAATTACTTGCATTATTTAAAAAATTTATGAACCTTTTCCGGTGACCTTTAAATGTGATGTTTGTAGTAAATCATTTAATATCCGAGCTCCTCTGCAGAAACATTCGACTTCATTCAGGAGAAAGATCTTATAATGTGACGGTCCGTGGTAAATCTTACACCATCCGTGGTAACCTACAAAGACAAGTCAAAAATCATACGAGCAAAAAAAAAAAGTCTTATAATAATTAAAATAAATCAGGCATTCATCAAGGTGCTTCTATGTTTCTTTATTATTCTGTCAAAATGGCTGCTCAAACTAAATCAACCATCATAATTGTTTTTATCTGGGTAATTTGTGTAGGGACTGAAATTAACTTTTCTGTGAAGAGTTTTACATTTGGCGTGCTTGGCACGGTTTCGAGACGGATTATTTTAGAGTAATGTAAACGGGTCAATATCTTGAAATTTATCGCGGCCTGTTATCGTGACCAGAACGACACACTTATCGCGGCCAAGGGGCTTATAGAACATGGTCCTATACTATACCCTCTATTGAGTCTATAGAACAAGGCCCTATAATATACCCTCTATGTCAGTGAAATGGGTTTTAAACTTCTGCTCCAACTGGGCTAAAGAAAACAGAAAATATAAAAAACACACAGTGTTTTATTCATCGAAAATAGAGCATCAGGCTAGGGTGTTAATTGGGCACCATCTGGTAAAGTTATGTAGGTTTTTTTGCTGATGCTGCCGCCATGTTTTTAAGGCAAAAATGATACAGTCCCCCACCCCACCCGGAAAATCGGCCCGTACACCTATGTATAAATGCACATTCTAAGAACGTGTGAATATATTAGTTATGTTTGTGTGTGGGGTTAGTTGGTCTTGCATCCGCTCACCATGTAACTTTTTGGTCTTGTGAAAGCCTCTAGTGTTGCCGTTACATTATTGGGTTTTCAAGTCAGGTTCTTGATTACAACACTGGTTTAACTTCAAACGTTACTTTTATTATTCTTCAAACTTTTTATTGTTAAAGACTCCGGTATAAGCTTGTGTTGAGGGAGCCATGGTCCTAGCTTGGTTTGGCACAGGCCAAATCCCGACTAACTTACGTGGCCTCTGTCTGGTCTTAACTCGGGACACCCTTGCCTGGTCTATCTACTTTTCATTCCTGCTTATAAACTCTTTCTAGACAAAGGATGAAGGAAGAGATTATGCAGTTGGCTATTTATTGCATCATAACTCAGGCCAGGGGTAGTAACTAATGACTCCCACGAGGCCTTTGGCCGTGTCAGACCAGTGTCAATAGCCCCGTTTAGACTTGACCGCAATAAGCGTGCCGTTCTGGGCACGGAACCAGACCGCGATAAATTTCAAGAAATCGACCTGTTTACATTACCCAGATGAAAACAATTATGATGGTTGATTTAGTTTGAGCAGCCATTTTGACAGAACTGTCAAAGTTTGTGGGGAAAAAAGGTCAAGGTTCGTTTCGCGCATGCGCAGTTATCCGTACTGAAACCGTGCTCAGACCGGATAGCGTATACACTAAGAAAATTTAACTGCGCCGCGCCTGGTACCGTGCCGAGACCATCTCATATATTTCAGTGGGCCAGATTTGCAGGGTACTCAGTACGGCACGCTTATGTTTGACCCGTTGACACTACAAAAAAATTAACCGTGCTTTGCCAGGTACCTCTGGCACGCTTAAAATTTGTAATGTAAACGGGGTTTATGTCGACCATGTGTTGGTCATAATCAGATAAGGTTAATCGATTACATGTATGGAAGGTGTTTATTGACATTTTACTACATAATCTCCAGTTATGTAACATTCCTCCCATCCTTGAAGAAAAAGTTACAAAATAACTTTTTAAAGCCATTACAAACTTAAAATACAAGTGGAGTCGACAGTAACTACCCTAATTAAAATACAAAAAAAACAATGAAAAATTAAACACTGGTTAAATGTCTTATGAAGAAACACTAATTTAAGAGTTATATATTCACAAAGTTTTTTTTTTTTTCACACCACAATGTCGCACATAATCACATAATACAAATTTGTCTAATGGTCATACACGCGAGTTATTGAAATGACATATAATACAAATTTTTCTAATGTTCACACATGCGAGTAGAAACGCGAAGTATTATCGTTGAAGCTGAGAGTGTTTTTTTTTATCCGTTATTTCCTTGCATCTGTAGCCATTCCAAGAGCTATTTGGCTGATATTTTCGTCTAAGTATACGTTCGGAACATTCGGAAATCGTTGAAAAAGAGCCTTAAAATCGAGCAAAAAAGCCAGTTGAACATGCGACTCGAAAATTATCAAGGCGAGCGAGGCATTATGATGGGAAAAAAGACGAATCTATTCCCTAGCCACTTCACTATTTAAGCCTTGTTACGTGTACTGTGTACTGTCCACACATGAAACAATGCTACAATCAAGTTGCACTCATGGGCGTCGGTGATGGGCACGAGTGTTTACGCCGCCGATTCCACAAGATGCTGTCATTGATGTCTGTCTAGAGGCTAAAGTTAATATCCGATTGACTTTAAATTTATACACAGTGTTTAAGGTCGCAAGACAGAAGCCCAGTGATTTTCACCGATTTCCAATAATTACTACAAGAGTTATGGCCCTTGATAACTTTGAAAAATCTTGTGGACGCTCTAGAAACCAAAGTTATCATCCGATTGACTTTAGATCGATAAACAGAGTTTAAGGTCTTGAGACGAACAAGTATATTGATTTTCAATGACTTTCTAATGGTTTCCTGATAATTACTTAATAAGTTTTTACTCTAAATCAGATTTTAGTGTATTATAAATGTTTCATTATGGACAATAGAAAAATATGCGACAACTCTTGTTGACTGTTGAACGACTTAGCTGCTGTGGGCTTATGTTTCATAGCTTGGCAACCTATCTTTATTATTCTGTGCAATATTACTTTTGACATAATACTTAGATTTGATTAATTCTTGAATTGGTAAAAAGAATGTTTTATAACCCCATTGAACTTTCGTTGGTGGTTCTTTTGACTTAACTACATGTACCATGATTAATCTACATGGGATTGTTGCAAACACAGCTTCTGTAAACGTTCACTGACAACCGACATAGGTTAGATTCCCGGGTAATTTTAGATTCACGGAAGTCTTTTTCTTATACGTAAACCATATTCCCAGGGATTTTTCTATTGATCTAATTCACTAATATATATGAAAGTAAACTGTTATCACAGAGAATTAAATAATTGCTGTATGCGTTTACATGAGTCCACTATCAAACAAACCAACACTTTATTAAATGAAGCTTTTATCAGCTTTGATCTGTTCATGGCAAGTCCGCTATCAAACAAACCAACACTTTATTGAATGAAGCTTTTGTCAACTTTGATCTATTCATGGTAAGAGTATTGTGAATCATTATAAAAAAAATCATTCAAATAAAAATACCCTACATTAAATGATTATTATGGGATTTGTTTTATCTACCGGATGTATTTCGTTTATTTGTGGCCCGTCGTCATTAGTCCAGATTAGGAGCAGAACAGTAGGACGTTAAACCCCATTTCATTTCATTTCATTTCGTTTATTTGTACCCGATCCAAATAGCAAATGTAAAATTCACTTTGTAGTGTACCGATATTCCCTTTAACACAACAATTAAGCCCTTTGTTCCCATGAAATGAAATGGGGTTTAACGTCCTACTGTTCTGCTCCTATGCTGGGCTAATGAAGACGGACATACGCCATACAGTGTGCTATGAGGGAAATTTTGCCCGGGCAGCGGCGCTATCGCCTACTCTTATATCTAATATATATTGGCGTGCACGTAAAAGATCCCTTAACAGTGAGAATTCGAAATACGAGTAGGTCTTAGCGCCACTGTCTGGGTAAAATTGCACACTGCCCGTGTTCATTAGCCCAGTATGAAGTTAAACCCCATTTCATTTCATTTATAGTTTTAGATATAAGGCTTGAAGAATATTTACTCATTTGTATGAACATCAAACGAAGTATGCATCAACAGATTACTCACATTGCTTTATTTTTACTAACATAAAGGACCAGATGCATATTTCCTTTGAAGTCATGTGGAGGTTGTACACAGATCATATGTAGTTTGTGCATGACATATGGGATAAATTACATGTTTAATTAGAACGTGACTAAACAGAAGTATATACAGAGTTGAAAAGTCAATATATATTATCAAAACCCAACTGGGGTCAATAAGTTCTAAGCACCTAAATGATCGATCAATTTGAGAAAAGTTATAGAGCACTCATAGGCGTACGGGTTCGATGACAGGTGGGGGGGGGGCAGAACCCGAAATCATTTCGGGTTACAGGCGACGGCGCCGGTCTTCTGTGAGAGCGGAGCTTACAGTGTAGCCCCCCCCCCCCCACACAATTTTGGAACATTTGACGGCCGCAAACGCATTTCCTGCTATTCTAGCCCGTGAATACAGCAACTTCAAAGTGGTGAAATAATATTTTTTTGTTCACTTTACCCGTCTGCCCGAAAAGTCAGATTGCCCGAAAGTTAGGGGGGCAGCTGCGTTATTGCGACATTTATACAGACAAAAAATAACTTTATTGAAAAATGATTTGTCAACTTTGATCTTTTTATAAAAAGGAAATAAATTGTATTCATGGTTAAGTTGTTGACGTATGTGAATACATGGCTTTATTGGTGTATGAGTTGTTTGTGTTTATCAATAGTAAATTGTCAATCTGTTTCACAGAGGATTACGAAAATCTTCTAATATGGCTATAAAAGATGACTACCTTTAACATGTGACGTCTCATCACGCGGCGTCAATCATTGGCTCAATGGCGCGTGCATTGTTTACATAAGACGTTCTAGGTTCTAGTTTGCTCTAAATTGTCCGAGAAAGTTCACCCAGATTTTCCGGCGTGGTTTCCCCTTGTCAGTGATGCAGGATGGAGGGCCTGACAAGGACAGCTGTCTAGTTGTTCGGATGGGACGAAAAACCGAGGTCCCGTGTACACATTGGCGTGCACGTAAAAGATCCCTTGGCAGTTGGAATTCGATATAAGAGTAGGCTGTAGCGCCGCTGCCCGGGCAAAATTTCCCTCATAGCACACTGTATTAGCCCAGGTTAGGAGCAGAACAGTAGGATGTTAAACCCCATTTCATTTCATTTCATTTCTAAATTGGAAATAATTTTTACCTACAAATACGTCAAACGCCTTTATTATTTTTTTCGAATAAATAAAAACAAATGTTTTAGAATTTAATTTGTCGCAGGAAAAAAGTTAATATTTCTGGCTCATTAAGTCGCATCGATGTCATCCTTATCAGTGATTGTTATAGACTGTACAACCTGCTCTAAATGAAGTCAGACTGGTTCCTACGTCACTGCGGCTGGTTCCTACGTCACTGCGCTATTCTGACTTCAAGTCAGAAAATTTGTGACGTAAAAGCGAGTCTGGCGTATTAGAGCAGGTTATCCAGTCTATGATTGTTACGGCCTAGTGAATATTCACTGCTGATCAGTGTGGTAAATTGGGCATTAATTAACTTATCCAGACCATAATCAACTCTCGATGCCATCTTATGTGTCGGATTTTCACTGGATTTGAATCCGATCTGCTGCTCGGATAATCGAGAATATGTTTTTTATCGTACCGATGATCGAAGCTAGGTTTAAAATTCAAAAGCTAATATCTCGGTTCTTAGTGGAGCAATTTGGCTGAAATTTTCAACATATTTTATTTACATGTACGTTATCTATTTTTTTAACTATTATAGCGAGAACAGTCAGCTCTTTATCTAATCTCCCACAATTCCCCTTTAATTTTCAGCAAATAAAAACAACACTAAGTTATTAGTTTAAAAACAAAGATAGATTATTTAAAACAAATCATCGTTTTAAATTCAAAAACAGTAATATGTATGTATATACAGAATATCAATTGCGAATAAAAAATGAGGGCAGCTCATGGATCCCTATTGCACAAAAACCTCTGACTAGCAAAGTAACAACACTAAGTTATTAGTTTAAAAACAAAGATAGATTATTTAAAACAAATCATCGTTTTAAATTCAAAAACAGTAATATGTATGTATATACAGAATATCAATTGCGAATAAAAAATGAGGGCAGCTCATGGATCCCTATTGCACAAAAACCTCTGACTAGCAAAGTAACAATATATCAATTATATACACCAAACAATGCAGTTTTTTTTTATTAAAAACAAGATTGAACCAGCGGATATTTTAAAACACGAATAATTCATATTAAAACAATCAGCAAATACATATTTTAACTATATATGTAAAAAATAATAAATTTGATACAAAGCAAACAAAAATATTAAAATTCAAAAATCTGCCCCTAACAGTAAAGCAAATAACAATTTTTACAACAAATAAACATTCATTATGTATAACATAATAGTTTATCCTTAATGAAAACATAAATCAATGGCTTAAAATCAAAGCATAACAGAATATATAAATTCTGTAAAACAAATAATAACACACTGTCTTGTTAAATTATAGAGATCATTCGTTCGCCCATTAGTTGTAGATTAGCCCAGGCATGGACGAGGGCCTGGTCCGAGACAGATGAGATGGAGGAGGCCCTGACCCGAGATAGATGAGATGGACGATTAAGTCAAATGGAAAATCAGAAACAATCGTGTTAATATGTTCTATTAGTTATTTGGGGGTTGGGTGGCCGAATGGTTAGCGCGTGCGCGTTGTATCATAAGGTCTGTCATTGAGTCAACTGGCGTGGTTTCGAATCCCCGGTTGTACTTGACAAGGAGTAGGGTCGCCTGTCCAACCTCTTGGGTTTTCTCCAGGTCCTCCGGTTTCCTCCCACTGCTAAAGACCCCTACGCGCAAGCGAATTATTGAAATAAAATTAAACCACATGTTAGTCCCGAAATGACCTAGTTTGTGTCGAGCAAGCGAATTATTAAAATAAAATTGAACCACATGTTAGTCCCGAAATGACCTAGTTTGTGTCGAGCAAGCGAATTATTAAAATAAAACTGAACCTTATGTTAGTCCCGAAATGACCTAGTTTGTGTCGAGTGGACGTCAAACCCTATCTTTCCCTCTCTGTTATTAAACGTAGAATAGGGCAAGACACACAATCTAAACAGGCATTGCAAGAAATCTGGGGCCAGAGTCCACATGTGAAAACCTCGTACTCTATGGCATGTTAGAAGTTAAATAAATAAAAAAAACTAAAACTAAATAAACACATGTCTTTTCAAAGATGGTCTAAATAAATGCATAATATATGATTTAATTTGAGAATCAAATCTAAATCGTTGAGGGTCTTTTTTTCACAGTCATTACGCCATCTACTATACTGGAATTACGCAAAAGGTCATTCGTCCCATAGTCGGGTCTCGTACCAGGTGGTAGCGATATATAACTGTGTATATCACTGTTCATGGTGTATTTGTTCAGAGCATTGTAAGGGTTAGAGTCAAGTGTCGATGTATCATCACCTTCATCAGCTGTCTGGACATCATCTATATTGGTTACATCATCATCATCATCATCATCATCATCGGCTGTCGATGTATCATCACCTTCATCAGCTGTCTGGACATCATCTATATTGGTTACATCATCATCATCATCATCATCGGCTGTCTGGACATCAACTATACTGGTTACTGAATTGCTATTAACATTTGTTTCTTGGACATCCTCCAATTCGTTAATGTTACTTGTTCCAGGATTCTGTAGAGACATATAAAAGCTTTTACTGGTATCAATACCATCTCTGTTGATTGGATCGTAAGGATTAGCATATGCACCTGTGTCGTTAGATGCAATAGACTCTGTATTGGTTGCAGTAGAATCACGGTTTGCATGGAATATAACAACACTGTTTAATGAAATGTAGGAATGTCTAATATTATTCACTGGATTGCTGCTGGTATTTACCACTCTTTTAGCTTTACGTTTATAACCTGTAATAAAATAGTTGATAATATAAGTTGTTTTCGTATCGTATCGTGGAGCTGCCATTAGTTTGTGTAAACTGGGGGCCATATCTTAATATAAATGGATAAATATATCTTAATGTAAATGGATAAATATATCTTAATGTAAATGGATAAATATATACTATTCAAAAAAAGTAGGGGATATTTGATTTTGGGGGCATAATACTAAAATATGCAAATGACTACGAAAAAAGTCACTATAGAACCTAACAGAAGAAACATTTCCAGTTACATGTGACGCCCAAACGCACCAATAGCTACCGCATGGAATGCAGGTGATGCTTGGAATCATCATGGGGGTCCAACCCAAGATTTGCACGACTCTGACTTTGAATGTTACAGTCATTGTGGCATTGAATTCCAGGGTGGAAACATCAGTTTAATTGTTTTAGTGACCAGAAAACAAATTTTGATATGCGTCGGCTTACCCAAAATGAAAGGTTACGTGCCCTTGGCATGCTACAGATCGGCACAACACAGGCGGTTGTGGCGCGGACGATGAATGTTTCTCAGTCTGTCATAAGCAGGCTATGGTCCAGATACCGTGATACACAATCTGTACAGGACAGACCACGCTCAGGTCGACCAAGGGCGACAACTCAATCCCAGGATCGATTTATCCGTACCTTGGCCTTGAGAAATCGTGTCATCACAGCAAATCAGATCAGCGCTCGTCTTCAAACAGACATTGGTGTGAGAGTGAGTGGCCAGACGATTCGGAATCGACTGCATAGGGGTCATCTTCGCGCCCGACGTCCTCGCGTGATCCCTTGTTTGAGAGATCATCACATTCAGGCAAGACGTCGTTGGTGTAGGGATCGTCAACACTGGGATAATCGACGCTGGAGCAATGTGATGTTTTCAGATGAGTCAAGGTTCACTGTTGATTTTTTTGACAGATGTAGGAGGGTGTGGCGTCGTCGAAACGAGCGCTTCCAAGACGTTAACGTCATCAGACATGATCGATTTGGGGGTGGTTCTGTTATGGTGTGGGGAGGCATCACTGTTGCTGGAAGAACGGCTTTACATATTGTTGCAGGGCGTGTTACAGGCCAGTACTACTGGGACAACATCTTGGCAGTCCATGTTGTGCCGTTCGCACGACGTCATGGCCGCCGTTTCATCTTCCAGGATGACAACGCAAGATGTCACAGGGCCAGGATCGTTACAGGTTACCTCCAACAACAGAACATCACCACATTACCTTGGCCAGCACTGAGTCCCGATCTCTCCCCAATCGAGCATGTCTGGGACATGCTTGGACAGAGGTTACGTCAACGTCAACAACGTCCTGCCAATGTCCAAGAACTTGCTGCTGCGTTGCAACAGGAATGGGACAATCTGGACCAAAATGACCTTAGACGTCTCATTAGGAGTATGCCACGTCGGATCAATGCTTGTTTGGCAAACAGAGGAGGATTTACCCGTTACTGACTTGGTTGTGATGCTGTGGTAACTTTGCTGTTTGACCCCGGGTATCATTTTACCCTTATAATGGTCAGTCTGTGTCTTACTTAGTCTAACGATCATTTGGAATAAATCGATGAATGTGAACTTCATTTCATTTTGTCATTTGTTTCTTCGTCAGTTTCATTAGGTGACTTTAATAACACTTAAAAATCAAATATCCCCTACTTTTTTTGAATAGTATATATTAATATAAATGGATAAATATATCTTAATATAAATGGATAAATATATCTTAATATAAATGGATAAATATATGTAAATGGATAAATATATCTTAATATAATTGGATAAATATATCTTAATATAATTGGATAAATATATCTTAATATAAATGGATAAATATATCTTAATGTAAACTGAAGAATATATCTTTATGTAAATAAAAGAAATATTTTTTATGTAATACATGTCCATTTGAGTGGAAAGCAGGAACAGATTACTAATTGTTATCAAGCATGTGTTAAAGTATGCTCTGGTAGAGAATGGACAACAAACTTTATTTGAGCACTTACCATAAATACCTAATCCTACAAGGGCACCAATCAATACGGTTAATATGGGCAACACGGTCATCATCACCAACGATCCACTCTCTATAGTCACTACAATAATAATACAATCAAATATAGAACCATCCATTAATACAAGAAATAAATTTGCGTTCCCATGCCAAAGTAGGCGATTACTAGCTGTTTAGATCAATAAACAGTCTAAAATGCATGTTAGTAGTGCGATTGTTTGCTTTTTTTTTTCAAAACCCGAAAAATCAAACGAATGATACATTTTAAAAGGCAGTACCTTTAATTAAACAATTATGGTAACTCAGTACCCACTATTGGATACCAAATCGGGTGGGTTTTAAAGTCTCGTCAACACATTACCTACTATTGGATACCAAATCGATTTTAAAGCCTACTCAACACATTACTCTCATTATTTTGAGACTAACTGTCGTGTTGTTATAATTAAGTGTGTAATTCAATGTGGAGGATTATCCACCTTCTGCCATGGGTCATTTTACATACACTAAAATATACATGGTTGGACCTTGGTGTTTCGTCAATTCCTCACCAGAGAAGTCAGAACTGGGATTGAAATATCTCGAAGGTTCTTCTTGGCCCATGTCAGGATGCCATCCCGGGACATTTGAATATATTCTTCAAAGGCAACCTGCATTCACATCGTAGTGTAAAAAGCAGATTCAGTTACACTAACCTGACTGTAAACATAAACAGATTCAGTTACACTAACCTGACTGTAAACTTAAACGAATCTCTATCGCGACATGTTGTTGGTTTTTGAAAAGGACACTAAATATATAGGTACTATAATCTGTGAAAGTTGTATTTAGTATATCTAGAGTTATCTGTGCACCGTCTAATATTGGCTGTTTATGAAAGACCAATCTGTCGTCATCTATAACAGGATTATACCCGGATTCCGTCCAATATCCCACCTTTTGGTACTGCAGAGAGAAAGAGAGAGATATGGGGTTTAACGTCCACTCGACACAAACTAGGTCATTTCGAGACTAACATATGGTTTAATTTTATTTCAATAATTCGCTTGCGCGTATTAAATTATTGCAATTTAATAACAATTAAAGATACATTATGGGAGATTTTTATAGAGAGTTGGCCATTCTTGCTATAACAGTTCAAAAGTAGATGATGAAAGAAGAATACATTGAAAAATTCAGTCAAATTACTTTATTCTGAACATAGTTATCATCGTTGTAATATTTGCCTAGAAATGGTAGCGAATTGGGTCTTCACCTTCGCTGATCGTTTGATTGACAGGCGTTAACTCCACCTACATATCTCGATTATCAAGTAAAGTTTTCAATGGCATACGGAAACGCTTTACAGCGGCCTCGCTAAGTACACTCTATCATTTAGCCTCGATCTAACTGACGTATTTTCATCAGGTTATCCCTTATTTGATTTAATCAATTAGTGAAATCCTATTTAAATCCGAGCTGTAGCCGAGCCATCCGTGGGTCTACAGAGTTGATTTTGGTCTTGTTGTTTAAATAAAGATCTAATTTATAATTTCTATAACATCTGAAGCCTAAATTAAGACTTGCAATAATCAGATTTAGCTCTTGCATAATGCATGTTTAATTTACTGTGAAATTTGTATAATGTTCTGTGATTTACTGATCTTTTGGGTTTTTTTATTTCAATTTTGAAATATACATATATACATCTTAAGAATCCATTTATTCGGTCTCGAAAAATTCACCATATGTCTGGTTGGTGCTGACGTGCCATTAAACAATAATTCATTTCATTTATGCTTAATTCTTTGGGTCGTCCATCGATATAGTTACGTCATAATACTATATTACATTAATTTTTCATGCTGATAAATATACATTATTGATTTTCTTTTAAGAATTGCTGGCACCATTTATATGTGCGTGTTGGGGGTGGGGTGGGGTGGAAAGGGCAATCATAATTAGTCTCAAACTGTCCGGACAGTGATGTTAAGCTCCGTTAATTTCCTTTTATTGTGACTAATATGTTCAAATATTTTCATACACATGTACATAATTTTAGAAATATGTAAAATATAAAAATAAAACAACATAATATATTTTATCTTACGTTTAATTTCGGACTATTGTCACGAATCACGTTAATGCTGATAGCTGGAAATCTGTAGTAATATCTAAATATTAATTTCACAGTGTTACCAATTGTGCCTTGGATATATTTGTTAGGCACATCCATCCTAGGCCCTATAAAAGCAATGACAGTCCTTATGATACAGCGCACACGTGCTAACCATTCGGCCATCCAATCCCCCCTCCCTATAAAATTGATTATCGCTCTGCTTACCATAAGCCGAAAATGCTCATTATCGAACTTAGTCAATGTATTGATGTAATGAAACTATACACCAAGGATCCAAGTTTCGTCACTCTCACTTAATTAGAACTAAAGTTATCGTGTCCCAACTCATCAACCAATCAAATTCAATATCTCTGCTTATCCCATTCTAGCTCAATTAGAAGAAGAGTTATTGTGTCCCAAAAAGTGTGACGGACAGACAGACAGACAAAAACATTTTAATAGTCCCCTGCTTTTTTCGAAAGGCGGGTGGCAAAAAAAAATGAAGTGGTAAAATATCAAAGATGGGCCTTTCATCATTGACATACACGTGTACAAGCAATATTTCCCAAAAGTTTCATATTTTTTCATGGAAGTCCCCTATACATACAGGTATGTAGTCAAAGCTAATTTTACAAGAAACCGACACAGATATGGCTTTAATAGTAAGTGCAGGAGGGCCGCACTACCTGTAAAACAAAAATCTACAAGATAAACCTGCGGACAAGACAAAAAATAGACATTGCACCAAATAAACAAATATCAAATCAAGTGAATGGATCCGGGGGGCAGCCGTAAGCGTCCACTGCGCTGTACTAATGTTTGTTCAAACAATACCCATTGTTACATTATACATGTGATCAGTAACAACTTCTAAAATAGTGTAGTAAAATTTCTACAGTGTATCGAATTATTGATGTAATTTGGTTAGGCACAATTATCAATCTGTGGCATTTAAGGCACTCCATACACAGTTCACGGTGCTTGTTCTGTAAAATTTGATGGTGAATTCTTAATCTATATAACATTCTCTAACAAACCCAAAAATGTCAGACAGACTAGAAGGAATAAAATCAGGGGCCTGTTTCACGAAATTTTAACTAAGATAAAATCCAAATTTTAGTAATTTGATTGGATAATATTAGATTGATTTTAGTGCTTAGCCAATCAAAATTGAAGTATCTACTAAAATTTGGATTTTATCTCTTGTTACAATTTCGTGAAACAGGGTCCAGAACATCAAAATCGAATTATCGAATAGTAGGCTCAAAACTTGCGAATGGATACCCCGTGTCAAAAGGTCATCTCAGTCAATATTAATGCCAGAGTCATATAACATTGCGGCTTAACATATATTTTTTTCATAATATTCTGAGGGTGTCACCCGACCAGCACTAGCCCACTTGACACGGAATGACTCAGATAATGAAAAGGGAATTTTTGGACATTTTAGTCAAATTATGTCATTCTGTGTGGAGTTATGGTCGTTTAAAGACTCGACTGTCATTGATACCGTTGTTACCATTATCCATTGTTTTTAATTAAAACAAACCAACAGTGAAGCTGATATCCCCCGCCGAAATCCCCAAATAAATAGATGACACATATTAATTAATCGCACATCTATTTTTTTTTCAAAAGTATCGAGCAATCAAACTGATTATCAACTATACACTAAGTTTCATCACTCTCTATCAGATAGAATCAAAGTTATCTTGTCCCAAAGCATCGACCAAGGAAATTGCTTATCTCTGCTTAGCTTTAGCTCGATATGTTAATCATTGAACTCAGTCAAGACGAACATCTACATCAAGTTTAAACATTCTACCTCAATTAGAAGCAGAGTTGTTATGTTCCAAAGTTTTGACCAATCAAAATGCTTATTGCTCCTTAGCCTAAGCAGACAATTCTCATCATCGAACTTAGTCAGGGTATTGATGTAATGAAACTATACACCAAGTTTCATCACTCTCACTTACATGTAATTAGAACTAAAGTTATCGTGTCCCAAAGCATAAACCAATCAAATTGCTTATCTCTGCTTATCCTAAGCAGAAAATGCTCATCTTCGGACTCCATCAAGGCATTGACCTAATAAACACCTACACCAAGTTTGAACATTCTAGGTCAATTAGAAGGAGAGTTATTGTGTCCCAAAAAGTGTGAAGGACGGACAGACAGACTGACGGACGAACCCATTTTAATAGTCCCCTGTTTTCTTCGAAAGGCGGGGGACAAAAAACGTTAACTGACGATCGTGTTTTAATCCGTTGAAAATCACAACCATCCGATGGTTTAGAGATTAGATTATAGTTTATATAACATTTAAGGCCAAAAATATCTGCAATATTTAGATTTAGCTCGAACATAATGCATTTTTAAGTGTCACCTTATTAAGGCAATAACTTACCCTCAGGTAAAGTTAAAAGAATTGGTTTGCTGATGATGGAGCAACTATCACTATGTCTGAATTCTATGAAGTAATTATAGTCTACATCCTCCTCCGTTACTTTACGTAAAGTAAAAAGCACTGTTGTTGTGCCTTTGTCATCTGTATTCAGAGTTACTGTAACTCTATCATCATCACCCTCCATTGCCATATTTTTTATTTCCAACTGAACAAGATCCTGCTGAATAAAACAATAGGTCAAAGCATTATTAGATGTTAGTGAGAAACAGTACTTAAATCGGAAAGCTCGGCATAGGTAAGTGGATAATTTAGTTTGATCTGTTCTTCATACGTTATATGTGTGACTTACTTATTACACATGTTACACCGGTTCTACTGTATATTTAGTCCGTCTGAAAACCCCACTGTTTGCAATGTGTTTGCAGTAGGGTTGACCTTATCACCTGTCTCAAATTTGCGGCACCTAGGGACAGATTTGAGTTTTGGAAGAGCTAGATCTGGAGAGTAGGCTTGGTGTGGAAGGATCTTGAAGCTACAGTCCTTTGCAGCGATCTCTGCCAATTTGAGGGTGTGAATTGGAACATATTTCTGGAGCAACGAGACACCTCCTCAGGGAAGTTTAACTCGGCGCTTTTTTGATTTCATCAACCAAACTGCGCAATTCATAGCACCATTTATGATGGAACCCGTCTTTAGATAATCTATCATGATTAAGCTCTCTGAGCCCCAGAAAACAGGAGAACGTGACCTTGCCGACGTTTTTTTTTTATCTTTTGGGGCGCTGGTAGGTCCACGTGCTTTCACCGCATACCTTGCCTCTTGGCTCAAGGATAAACAATGATTCAAGAAGGCACGTGGATCTCTCCAATTGTCCCTGAGAAGTTGTAACTACCCATGACTCTCTGACGTTTTCTTTTATTGGCTTCTCTCCATTGTGAGAGCAAATGAGAGGGTCATGCTGTTTGACAGATTGTAGGAAATGGGAGGTTGGTGGCCGAACAGTTAGCACGTGCGACCTGTATCATAAGGTTTGTCATTGAGTCACTGGCGGGGTTTCGATTCCCCGGTTGTACGTGACAAGGAGTAGGGTCGCCTGTCCAACCTCGTGGGTTTTCTCCGGGTTTACCACCCTACACATCTGGCCTCAAATGCCAATTGCAACAGTATTCTGAAATTGAATTTAATATCTTATTAGAGGTGCAGACATTTTTATGATGTTGCAAAAGTACTTACTCTCCTGGACTTTTCATCAAACGGCGATATTCTATAAACCAAAATATATTCAGATACAGCCTTAGTTATATATTCCCAATCCATGGTGACATCTCCACCAACTTCTATAGACTTGCTATCAGTCTTCCATGTGAAATCTGGAAGAGTATCATCTATATATATGTACCATAACATAAGATTTATTTCCAACATAAACTGATCATTAGCAACTGTAAGGTGCAATGATGAATTGAAAGTTGCTGCATATCAGCTAAACACTTCTTGTTTCGTATTTTAGAGAGGTGATATTGTGTAACATACATGTCCCGAGACCATTCGGACCAATGATTCATTGAACTTATTTAACAAACCGTTTAAATGCTATTTCACAAGAGCTTTAATTCACATTGAAAAAATTGGGCCTGGCTGTTCAAAGTTTGATGGGTATTTATTACCACATTTTGAATGCGATGACTTGTTTACGTTTTACTGTGTTGTTCGACGGTATCAGGCCTCGAATTCTAATCTTTTTAGGGCCCTGCCATTTTGGCCTCGGGTTTTGGGCAAATTTAGGGGCACCAAGGCCAATGATGGGGGCATCAAGGCCAAAAAAGTACTCTTTTGGAAGAATCAATTAGTAGTAGTTTTTGGGTAGACGGACACCTTGGGGTATAACTAAATGTGGATTATAAATGAAACAAATTGTTTATCCATTTCAAAAATATTAATTTTTAATTTTCTTATAGTCATCAAAATAAACAATAACAGCCTGCATCATTATGCATTTTTATATTTATATGTTGTTTTATATATGTAGGATTGTTATGAATTTAATAAATACATGAACAGACATAAAAACTAAATTACGGATTAAAATTGTCCTTCAGTGCTTCACACTCTCCGAAAATTAACAGAAAATATTGGGCATTTAAATAAAATGAAACTGGCTTTTAAGGTCCTACCAGACATAGATTAATACGTCTTACATGTCAATAAACCTGTTAAATTTACTGTCCCGTAGCAACAATCATTTGATTCGTTTTACTCATCGTGACGTATGGAACTGTGAAATGAAAGACCGTGACCTCTTTCAAAATGAAAGTAACCTATCAGTGCTGTTTGGCGGACGAGACATCATTTTTTATCATTTATAAACTGACCTGATGTCACACGTTGGGATAGCCCATATTTATCAAACAATAAACTCTTTGTTATTATTCATCCTATGACATATTGTACGTGCCTGTTTTCGAAGACTTGGGTCTCCATTACGGTAGTGAAATCTTCATTAACGAAATAGACTTGATAATCAAGTCTGCTATGAAATCACGAGATTTAGAAAGAATGGCGGGAAAAGCCATTCGTTTCTCGCTGGAATTATATTGTTACCGGAGAACCGTGAGTTAGCCTTCGGTACGAGGAGCGTTGTTTATAAAATTCGGGTGCGTCTAAAAAATATGTACCTTGTTTTAACTTTAGGTGCGTGGTAGGTGCGCGAGCGCTTTCGCGCGCCTTTCGTTTCGAGCCCATTGTAATGTTAATTAGTATGGCGATGTGAACGGGGGACGAAAAGGATATGTAACTGACCAGATATGTGGCTCAGGTAGACTTTTTATTTACTGGATCAGAAAAGGGCATCCCTGCTAAAATGGCCGGCAACCGCGGCCACAAGTGGCCGTGGACAAAGTGAAGATTTTAAGGGCACGGCGGCCAATTGAAAAGGGCACCGCGGCAATGGCCGCGGTTAATTTCGAGGCCTGCGGTATTCATTTTAGTTTTAAGAATCACTTTAATCATAAGTAGTAGGAAGGCTTTATGAAACTGGTACTTCACACATGTAAACAACCGGCGATGTCTTTATTTTTTATTTTGCGAGGTGTTTATACTGCTTGAAACATACCCTTTAGTGTTATATTGTATGTGTAGGATAAAGCATGAGGGCGAGGTTATGCTGGGGAAGAAAGACTGAAGAAAATAACCCGAGAAAAAGAAAAACCGAGGCCAGTAGGCCGAGGTTTTTCTGTCGGGTGTTTTTTCTGAAGTCGAGGACTTTATCTTGCTTTTAAACCGTCTATGTTTACAGGTACGCAAAATGAGAATATCCCAGAATTCCCAAAAGAAAAACCTTAGATCATGTTTTCTTATGGAACAAAAATCTACCCTGGAAGAATAACCCGGCACAGGTTTAAAGAAAAACTTTGAGAAGAATAACCACAAATTCCCCTGTATATATCCAAAGCCGCCCTCGACTTTCAGACCGCAAGTTATTCCGGGGATAGAATTTGCCCCAAAGATGAAAGAGATTTACCGCTACAGGTTTATAAAAAAGTATAGAAGTATTATACTCACCATCTAATAACACACTATTTATGGATTACAATTACGATGGTTTAATTTCACTTCGACGTTTCAACAAGATTTCACAAGTCGTGGAAATGTCGCAGTGAAAATAAACCATAGTAATTGTTATCTATAAATAGTGTGTTATTCGATTATGTTCCAGGGAGGTTGGATGGCCGAATGATTAGCACGTGCGTGCTGTAGCATAAGGTCTGTCATTAAGTCAACTGGTGGGGTTTCGATTCCCCGGTTGTACGTGACAAGGAGTAGGGTCGCCTGTCCAACCTCGTGGATTTTCTCCGGGTCCTCCGGTTTCCTCCCACTATTAAAGACCCCTACGCGCAAGCGAATTATTGAAATAAAATTAAACCATATGTTAGTCCCGAAATGACCTAGTTTGTGTCGAGTGGACGTTAAACCCTCTCTCTCTCTCTGGATTATGTTCCAATTACTAAATGTCATTCAAAGAATATAGTATACTCACCCATAATTGTGAGAGTTATATCTTTGTACATCGATTCATATTCAATTACACACCTGTATACACCAGAATCATTTACTGTAACATGCGGTATATTCATATAAATATTAAATCCCTCTTCTGTCTGTTTATTGTAGATCTTATACCTCTTTATATCGTTCAATATTAGATTTTCCTTCTTCAGAGAAAACCAAATCTAAAAAAAGAGCAAAGCATTTCATTTCTTTGGGGTATAAAACACGACATAACAGATTTATTGACACTATCTGTACATGCTTCTTTGAATAGTCGAATATATTAGCTGGGCATATGGAAACCTTTTCATTGCCATGTAGTAATTAACTTGTTATATATTTTAACTATATATTTATGGGGGGATTATCTAGCCTTTTTCTTTATCGAGATGCTCGAAATTTAATTCCAAAGCAAACAAACATATACATACCGAAATTTCGTCGCTTTGGATCTGAGGACCATCGCCGTATCGCTAGCGGATTTTATGATAAGGACGAATCCACGATACCAATGTCACATGCACCCCCCCCCCCCCCCGAATTATTTACGAAGTGGTGCCAGGAACTTTTGAGAACATCGTTCATTAAGATTAGTTAATTCCTCTACAATGATGTCATGTAATACTCTCTAATAATTAGTACAGTGGTCATCGCCGTTCGCCACCGTTCTGTGAAGAATAGCGATAAACCATCAGTGTGTATCAACATTGTTTCTTTTAGATTGAATCGGGGGGGGGGGGGGGGGGGGGTAGCACGGTGCGCGCTGTACCATACGGTCTGTCATTGAGTCAACTGGCGGGTTTTCGATTCCCCGGTTGTACGTGACAAGGAGTAGAGTCGCCTGTCCAACCTCGTGGGTTTTCTTCGGGTCCTCCGGTTTCCTCCCTCTGCTAAAGACCCCTACGCGCAAGCGAATTATTGAAATAAAATTAAACCATATGTTAGTCCCAAAATGATTAGTTTGTGTCGAGAGGACGTTTATCTCCATCTCTCCCTCTCCCTCTCATTGAATCAATGACAAAGATTAGGGTCGCCTGCCTACCTCTGGGGCCTCCGGTTTCCTCCCACTGCAATCCCTACCCGCAAGCGAATATTTAAAATACAATTGTACAATGTGTTAGTATCGAAAAGACTTTGATTTTGTCGAAGATGGTGGTTTTTTAAAGGTACGAGTGTCGTTAATATTTTCTGACACATATTGGAGTTCCTCAGGGAAGTATTTTATCTCCAACATTTTTTGCAATTAAAATGAACACCAGCATGTCTTAAACCAGGTACTAATGGCTCTCTTCATGTTGATGACTTTCAGATGTGCTAGGGTTCTACACACATGCGAATAAACCACTTCAACTATAAACAACCGAAATAAAATTTCGTTTTTCGAAATCCAAGACTCTTTGTATGCATTTCTGTCAATGTTTCTTTATTCAGTTATATACAGTTTAAAACGGTTAATTGATTTTCCAGATTCTCCCAAGGTCATTTCGGGACTAACATATGGTTTGATTTTATTTCAATAATTCGCTTGCGCCTAGGGGTCTTTAGCAGTGGGAGAAAACCGGAGAACCCGGAGAAAACCCACGAGGGTCGACAAGCGACCCTACTCCTTGTCACGTACAAGCGGAAAATCGAAACCACGCCAGTTGACTCAATGACAGACCTTATGATACAGCGCGCAGGTGCTAACCATTCGGCTATCCCACCCAGCCCCCAAGATATAGAAATCTTGCTGTTCCTTTCAGTTATCTGAATAAATATTGTTTATATAAAAAAAAGATAGAGATCTTCCCCATATAACAGTATTTCGTTTCGTTACCTTGATTGAAGTTTTGAAGTAAGGTATCTGTAAATTCCATTGAAGTTGGATGTTACAGCCAATCAAGCCAACAACTGTATCATTGCCAGGGGTAAACCAGCCAAGTGCTTTAGCTCCAAAACCTAACATATAAATGTACAAATTATTATATTAGCATGTGTTATGTGTGATTTAATGGTCGGGGCCGAGACATTAAAGATACCTTATGGGAGATAAGATAAAGAGCTGTCAGTTATCACTGTAATAGTTAAAAACTAAATAATGTAAAGGAAATTTGCTGAAAATTTCAATCAAATTTATCCAACCTGAACCGAGTATTTAGTGATTGAATTTTGGGCCTAGCCTCGATCATCATTACTAATGTCGGTACGATAGCAGCAGACTTGGTTCTAATCCAGTAAATATCGCAGAAATTTGTTGTATTTGGTACTCTACTTTATATTCATGACTAATGATGTGGTAGGGTGAATAAACAAGCAATGGAATTGGGTTAAAAGAGAGA